CGGTGTGGGTAAGGCAACCCCATCTGTCCATAGGTCTCGCCTGATCCACACTTCATTCATTCATTCGTTTATTCATTCTACAGGTGTTTACAGCCTGCACTGGGGCCAGAGGTAAAAGTGGGAACAAGAGCCCTGCTCTTGTAGCGCTTACCGCCTGGCGGGGCTGTGGACGGGCATCACAACACCGCGTGTTAGTCCTTGTGTAGGGGAACCTCAGCGATCCTACAGGGCCCCAGCAAGGGCATGCAGCCTCACCTGGGCAGGCAGGGAGGATTCCCAGAGGGAGTGACATATGAGCTGAGACTGGAAGGATGTGGAAGAGTCAGCCAGGTGAAAAGGGGGCACGTGTTCTAGGCAGTGGGAACAGCTCGTGCTAAAGACCTGTGGCCAGAGAGAGCGTGTGTGTCTGGAGCCCTGAAAGGTCAGTGTGGCTGGAGGTCAGAGAACAAAGGAGGGCTTGGACAGAGCGGAGGAGGCTCTGGGAAGCCAACAATGGCTTAAGGCAAGGCAAGAATGTCTTCTGATTTTAGGAAGGGGACCCTGATTAGATGTGAGGATGGATAAGCGGGGAGGAAGACTAGGAACAGGGTGACCGGTCAGGAGAGCTCGGCGGTAATCCAGACGCTGGGGCCACTGGGGCGGCTTTGAGGTGCTGGGGCAGTAGAATCACACCTTCTCTGTCCCACACACCAACTACATCTTCCAAAGGGGTGATTGAAGCGTGTTTAATGAAGGAACAGATGTAAGTGGGGATAAGGGAACCACAAGGGGTGGTGAGACTCCACAGAACTAAGGAGCCTTTCTTGCCCCCGCGCCTTAAGGGGCAAAGGAAGGGGTTGCTACTGGCACCCAGAGAGGGAACTGTGGCTGTCTGAGATGGACAGGAGCCGGGAGCCGGGACCACAAGTGAGGAAGCCTGGCATCTCTCCCCTCCTTGCCCCGTGATCCTGACGGGGCCTCCCATTGGCCAAACCCAACCCAAAGCCATAGGACAGGGAGTCTAGGTGATGCATTTGGCAGAGATCAGCATCCTGGGACAGAGCAAGGTGGGGAGAGTGGAGAGTGGATCTGTGGGGGCGAACATACTGAGCATAATAACCCTGCCCATTTGTTCTTCTGTCCGTCCATCCATCCATCCATGTATCCACTCATCCATCCACTCATCCATAGGCATACGTGAAAACATGCATACATCCCATTCATCCCAGCATCCTCTCCAAGCCCCTCATGTGTCTGAGGCCTCATGTGGTTAATTAGCTCTGGTGGGTGGCCCGTGCCCTCCCTCTGAGCCAGGAGGACCTCTCTGTCCCAGGGGGCTGGGCAGCAGAGGGATGAGCCTATAGGAATGTGCTGGGGGTTCTGCCTCCGCCCACTTTCTTGGATGGTCTGAAGCTGGTCCGGGAAGGGACTCCCAGCCAGTGCCAGTGCTGGCCAGACCGGGCCCTCAGTTTGGGTGTGCCTGCCTCAGGACAGCCCCTAAGCTTCCTCCCTGCAGCTGGTGGGCCTCTGGGCCATCCCACCCCGCACAGCAGCTGGCGCCTCTGTGTTGCAGATTCCTTGGGTGGGGGCTCCGAAGGCCCATGTTTCTGCCCTACCCCCTGCAACCTGACCCGCTACGGGAAAGAAATCTCCATGGTCAGGATCCCCAACAGGGGCTCAGCCCGGTACCTGGCAAGAAAATACAAGCGCAATGAGACCTACATACGGTATGTATGTGTGTGCGTGCGTGTGTGCGTTTGTGAATGTGTGTCTGTGTGTGGTGGAGGCCACCCTCAACAGGCCTGGTGCATGGTGCAGGCTGGGAGTGGGCCGCATCTTTGTTAATAATGAGTCTTCTGCCAGGAATGCCTTTCACGATCTTTTTCTTCTAGCTAACCCCTACCCATCCTCCAAGTCACATCCTGTGTCTCCACCTCCAGGGGAGCCCTTCTTAGCCCAAACATCTTTCATCTGCGCCCCCACAGCACCCTGTACATACTTCTGTCGTTGCATTTACCCGCTGTTTTGTGTTTGCATGTCTTTTGCACGTCTGTTTGTGTGTCTTTCTCCCCCAGCCGTTAAATGCATGTCCAGTGAATGCTGTGCAGAGGGAAAGGAACTGGAAGGGATGGGGAAGGAGCCAGGTGGCCCACAGGAGGAGTCCCACTGAGCCTTGGGCCTGGTACCCTGCAGCCAATCTGCCAATGGTGGGCATCCTCTGAGTGCCAAGCCCAGCGCTGTCTCCTATGGGGACAGAGATGATTATAACACAAAACTCATGCCACAGTTTGTGGATGGGGCCATGTTTGAAGGCGTGGGACTGATTCTTAGGCCCCAGGAGAGATGAATGTGCATAGGGGAAGTAGGGGAGGCATGAGCTGGGCCTCTGAACGCCCCGGGTTTGGGTCCGTGAGAAGAGGAGAGAGGGGAGGCATCCCAGTTAGAGATCTGTGGGCTGATGTCAAGACCAGCCTGAGCAGCAGGGAGGCTGTGTGGAAAGAAGCAGATAAAAAAGCGGTTTGGATAAGAAGGTACAGCGCAGCTGATCATGGGCAGCCTTGAAAGTCTGGAAGAGGAATTCTGGAGTAGACTGTCAAGCAATAGGGAGGCACTGAAGGTTCTAGAGAGGTATGGGGATGGGTCAAAGTGAAAACTATTTGCTGCTTTAGAGAAGGCGGGGTGGGGGCCGGGAGCGGGAATCTTGCCGGCCCAGGAGTTTTGTTTTATTCTCCCAGGCCCTTTGCTAGCCCTCAAAAGATGAAGCTGACAGGCATCTGGGCCTCTCTCGCCTCACAGCTTTTGGGAGCTTCTTGGCACAGGGGGGCCTCAGATCCGGATCTGCTGGGCCTGGGATGTCCCACCAGCTGTCTCCTCAGGAAGACGGCCCCTTAAGGATACCCTGCTTCCTGTCTCTACAGGGAGAACTTCCTGGTCCTAGATGTCTTTTTTGAAGCCCTGACATCCGAGGCCATGGAGCAGCGAGCAGCCTACGGCCTGTCAGCCCTGCTGGGTGAGCCCCAGCCCCGATTCCACGGGGGTGGACCGGACCCGCCTGCCCCCTCTGACCCTGCTCTCATGCTCCCCAGGGGACCTCGGGGGACAGATGGGCTTATTCATTGGAGCCAGTGTGCTCACGCTGCTGGAGATCCTAGACTACATCTATGAGGCAAGGGATGGGGCCCTGGTGGGGGCCACCCAGATGGGGAGGCGCAGGTAGGAGGAGGGGCTGGGGGGAAAGCAGAGGGGCAGTGCAGGCTTCCTGGTGGAGCTGGACTGCCGGAGGTCAAGCTCAGGGCCATTTACCAGCGTCCCCTGACTGGTGGGAAGACCCGAGCGCGCTGAGGAGTCAGGAGAGGGGGATGGGTGAGGAGGACTGGGGCGTCCTAGGGGGGTTTGCTGGGCCAGCAAGTCCTATGAGGTGGGCCTGGTGGGGCCCGTCCTTCTCCTCTAGCGAGTTTCCTGAGACCACTGCTATCCCCCCACCCCGAACCCCCAGGTGTCCTGGGACCGACTGAGGCGGGCGTGGCGTCGTCCCAAGACCCCCCTCCGGACCGCCACTGGGGGCATCTCCACTTTGGGGCTTCAGGAACTGAAGGAGCAGGTGAGGGTGAGCGCTGTAGAGTATACAGCCAGCGTCCTCTCCCAGGACTGAATCCCCCCATAACTTCTGAACTAGCCTGCGGGAGGGGGTTCCTGGGCTCCCCTGAGGCCTCCGCCCCAGGGGACAGGGTAAGGCTGGCTGTGTGAGGCCTGGGGGTACCACGTGAGCTCTCCCTGTCCCACCCGCTCTTCGCCTCGCAGAGTACCTGCCCAAGCCAGGGCCGCGCTGAAGGCGGAGGCACCAGCGGCCTGCTCCCAAACCACCACCCCCCAGGAGGCCTCTTTGAAGACTTCGCTTGCTAGGATGGTGCTGCGTCCAAAAGGACCCAGGAGTCTGGGACTCCAGCCCAGATCCCCACCGTAGCCTCCCGCTCTTAGGACCGAAGGCTTGGGGGCAGCCCAAAGCTGAGGGGAAGAGGGCGGTGCTCACTGGGAGGGTGGGGACTCGGTCCCTGCTCTCACCCACCCTAGTGCCAGCTGCTTTGCACAAGGGTCCCTCTTGTCCACACCCTCCACCCCCAGGCTGGTGCCCAGGGAGGGCTGGGGACCAGGCCATGGGCCCCAGTGGAGGGGAGGAGAAAGGGAGGTGGAAAAAGGGGCCCACCCCAGAGGGGGTGGAACCCTCTGTACATTTGTATATATTTAGGGAGGACAGGGTGGGGGTGGGGATACAGATGTAGCAGGTGGGTGGGGCTATGAGGGTCGGTAATTTAGAGACAGCCGGGGTCCCAGCCCTAGAGTGTTAGCAGGAGAGGGCAGGCCCCCAGGACTCAGGACTGCTGGGCTGGTCCTGCTTCCTGCCCCTCTCCAGGCCCAGCTTCCCTTTTGGCAGGGGGAGTGTGTGGTCCAGCAGGTCTGGTCCAGCTCCCAATTCCCTCTGCCCCAACCCCACTCCCAGAGTCCCCTCCATAGGGAAAGGCAGATCTTTCAGAACTTGGCTGAGCTTGGGGGTGGGGAAGGGGGCCTTCTCAGGCCTCTCTGCCTCCAGTCTGGTTTTATAAAGTGCTGACAAAGTTGGGAATAAAGAGGCATAAAGGATTCTCTGTGTGTATATGTGACTAAGCTGGGAGCTGGGGCGGGGCTGGGCATATGCATGACTTGGTCCCTGGGAAAAGGAAATACAGGCCCCAGCCGGGACAAGGAGCCTCCATCCTCAAAGCCCTCCCTGTCCCCATGCCTGCCTTTCAAAAACTCAGGAATCACTAGCCGGGACTTCCTGGTGGTCCAGTGGTTAACATTCTGTGTTAACGCAGGGGGCCCGGATTCGATGCCTGTTCAGGGAACCAGATCCCACATGCCACAACTAAAAGAGCCCGCACGCCGCGACTAAAGTCCCGCATGCCACAATGAAGATACCATGTGCTGCAACTAAGGCCCAGTGCAGCCAAATAAATAAATATTTAAAAAAAAAAAAAAAGAACCACTAGTCCACACTCAGCCAGTTTATTAAAGGCAGGGAGCTTCATCAGGACTGCAGAGGAGAGAAGTTGGGAGACACCGCCCCTTCTCTCTCAGCTCCCCCGCTTCTCCAACAACTCATCTACAGCCCAGCCCCCCAGGGGACCCTAGGAGGTGGGGCTGGCGTCAGGCAGATTGCACTGCATAAATACTCGGAGGCCACAGCCTGAATCAGCAGCGTCAAGAGGGCAGGGAGACCGGGTTTGGGGCAGAAAGGGGTGGCTCCAAGGGTACCTCTTCCAGGGCTTGCTCTAAGCCCAAGGGTCCCCCAAGCCAGAGAGAGGGGGCCAGCGGGCTGCCCTGGGGTCTGAGGCTGCGGCCAGCCCTGTCCTGCGAGGCTGGCAGGTGGCTCCGGGTGGCTGGGGAAGAGCGAGGCGGGGCACCGCCTTGCCAGGGTTCAGGGGCGCAGGGCGGGGTCAGGTGCTGTTGCCCTGCTCCTGCTCGAACAGCAGCATGGCCAGCTGGGTGCGGGAGCCGAGGCCCTCGAGCGCACTCTGGCGGCAGCGGTGGTACAGGTCCTCGCTAAGCCGCACGCTGCACGTCTGGGCCCGATAGCGCTGCAGCAGCGCGGGCTCCACCGCCCGCAGCACGTGCAGGCTGGAGAAGCGCAGGAACAGCTCATACACATCCAGGCTCTCCAGGAGCTCCTCTTCCTGCTCCGAGGCTGCCGCCAGCCGCGCTCGGGCCGCCACGTAGTCGGAGTTGTAGAAGCAGGCCTCATTGGCCGCCTGGCGATCAAAGCGGCCTGTGTCTCGGCCTAATTCAGGGGGTCCCGGGCCCTGGGGTGGGGCCACGGCCGGGTGGAAGGCCTGGAAGTGCATGGGAAAGAAGGCTTGCCAGCCAGAGATGGCATGCATGCGGCAGCGGTTCAGGAAGTCCGGGGTGAGCACCGTGTCTGGCCCGGCCAGCAGGAACAGCGTGTCCAGTGGGTGCTTCTTGGAGAGCAGATCCATGAGGCGCAGCGGTGAGGGTGTGGCTGTCTGCACGCTGAGCCAGGGCACCCGGGCACCGGGGAAACGCCGCTCCAGCTCTGCCACACGGGCCTTGACAGGTGCAAAGACATCGGCGTGGGCCGCCCGCTGGGCCTGTCGTGGCTCATACAGTAGCAGCAGGGTCAGGGTTGCTGCAGAATCGCCAGGCTCCAGTGCGGCCACGGCGAAGGCCTCCAGGAAGCCAGGGGCCAGGTCACACTCGGCTGCAGCCAGTGGCAGTAACACGGTGAGACGCGAGGCCTCGGTGACATAGGGCACGGGCAAGATCTCCACGCGACTCAGTGGCCGTAGCAGCTGCACTCGGCGGGTGAGGGGCCGGCGGCCACCCTGTGGGGTCAATGCCTCCAGCTGCAAGTCCAGCGTGTACTCCATACCCCGGGCAGGATCGAAGCGTCGGTAGCCATTAACCAGCTGCTGCTTCTGGAGCCGCAGGGCCGGGTGGTACCGGCGGTTGAGCTCCTCCAGGGCTGCCCCCAGAACGTCGGCCACATCAGCCTGGTCAGCCCCACGCAGTGCGCAGCGGGGCGAGCCATCAGCGCAGGAGAAAGCATGCTGTTCTGTGAAATAGTCCCAGCGCAGCACCTCAAAGCGGGAGGCTGGGCGGGACGGTGCTGGAATGCCCACGGGCCAGGTGGCTGCCCACTCCCCGTCCGCTGCCAGGCGGCTGGTGTTCTGGATCTCCCACTGGGTTGGAGGAACAGGCCGTGAGCGAGGCATAGATCACAGGGGCCAGCACACAGCTGGGGGGCTGGGCAGGCAGAAGGTGCCACTCAGGACAGGTTCCCAGTCCCTTGCCAACCTCTGCCCACCCAGGGCCCCCCCTTATTCTTTCCCCAGATGGAGGCAGCCTAAGAGTTAAATGGGGGTCTCTGGAGAGGCTCCAGAGAAAAGGTAGAAGCAGACAGGGACTGGGAAGCAGGTTTGTTCTGTGATCCTTGTGCTAATTTTGTATTTCCCTGGGATCTCTGAGACCTCTCAGGATGCCCTCACCCCCCCACCTCCAGCCTAGACCATACCTGTAACTCCTGGATCTCCTGGTATGTGCGTTCCAGTTCAGCTCGGGCAAAAGCCTTGTGCAGCTGGTACATGTGTACAGGGTCACGGACAGGGTGAGCTGTCAGGGCACTGCGGAAACGAGGGTCCCCCTCCTGCACGGGCTCCCCAGGGCTCAGCTCCAGGTAGCTATAGTGGACTCCCTGGGGAGAGGAAGGGAAGTAGGAAACATGAGGGGACAGTCGCCCCCCCACCCCACCCCACCCCACCCCATAGTTTGTGTCTCATCCCTCTATCCTATGACCTGTTGTGGACTTGGGGTCAGAATTCTGTGGGCTTCAGTCTACCGTGACCAGTTGTGAGCTTGTGTGACCTTGAGCAAGCCTCTGCTAGCTCATCTGTGAAACGGGCATGCATCCTATCTCAGAGCTGTCCAGGGGCTCAAATAAAATAATAATGGCCAACACCAAACACCTACTGTGTGCAAGCCTCCCTTATTTTTTCTAATCCTTATAACAACCCTGAGAAAAAATTATTTCCATGGGTATGGATGAGGATACCGAGGCTCAGGAGATTCAGTAATTTACCCAAGGTCACAGGGATAGAAGATGACAGAACTGCATGGAAACCCAGGCCCATATCTCCAACCACCCCCTCTGCCTCTCAGGGAGAAGTGCACACGCCCAGACAAGAGGCACCAGTGGGGTGGCTTATCTTCCTACCTCGTGGCCGCCAGTGCAGCCCACCCCGGTGGCATCGAGGATGCAGCGGCCCAGCCACTCATCCGGGTGCGCACTGACGATGTCGTTGCGGCAGGCTTCCAGGTGGGGGCGCAGCTGCTGCAGCAGCGTGCGTGACAGCAACACCCCAAAGCCACCGTGGCAGTAGCGGCCTGGGGCGGGCTCTCCACTGATGAAGTCCTGGGGCCGGCCCAGATAGAGGTGGGCAGCGGCTGCCAGGCTGAGGTGGCCAGCTAGGCGAGCCAGTCCGTGCGCCTCCGTGTAGGTGGCATCGGGCACTAGGAAGAACCAGTCAAAGTCGTTGCCGTGCTGCTCCAGCAGGTGGCGCAGTGCCAGGTGCAGGTGCCCGATGGGCCGCTCCTCGCCTAGCGTCACCACGGCCATCCCCGATGGTGCCCGGCGGCCCCGCGAGCCTGTCAGGAACACCACACGCTCTAGCCGGTGCCCCAGCGTGCGGTTCACAGCCACGCCCAGTGTGGGCAACGTGGCCTGTGAGGTCAGCACCGCCACGAGCAGCCTCTGCCTGATGCCCAGCTCTGTGCTGATGTAGCGGGTCCTGGGGGTGGGGGAAGAAGATGGCACAAGGTTACTAAAAAGACAACAGGGCAGGTAGAGGGCAGCATACACAGGTTCCAGCAGGTCATGTCCTCTTTGGGCCTGTTTCATTTATGATAGAATAACAACTCTCCCCCAGGGATCACGAGTATTTAAATGAAATACTGGCCTTACCATAGTGCTTTTGGGAGACGGCATTATCCATGCAGATATGAGAGATATATTTGGGGTCTGATTCCCTGTTTCATTACTTAGTGGTTGAGTCCTTGAGCAAGTTATTAAACCCATCCGAGTCTTGGGTAGCCTCATCTGTAAAATGGGGCTGATTGTATCTCTTTAAAGCACTTAGCCAAATGCTTGGCATATAGGTGCTCCACACATCATGTATACACTAATTTCTAAATAATATGCCATTATACCACAAATACATCACATAAATGATGTAACAGAATAAACGGCATAGAGATGTAGTGAATGTGTTTGGGGGGGGTCAGGGGTTCCAGTAACTTACCTTCCGTAACACAGAAGGTAAGTTGCAGAACTGGAATTTGAACTCGGTGTTACTTCGGAGAAATTATTTCAACTCATAGGCAGAGAGGCATTAATAGAATGGGTACATCACCCTTTTCCCACAAACCTCCGCCCCCCCCCCAGGTGCCCACCCAGGAACAAGAGATACAGGTAATCCTAGTTCTCTCTTTTCTCTTTCCCTCTCTCTATGCACCCACTCTATACACTAGTCATTTCTCTAAACCTAACACTGAGCCAGGGAGCTATGAGGACCTTTGGCGGGGGGTCCATGGGGTCAAGCAGGTTTAGGGCAGAGGCGGGCAAGTTCTGCCCGGGCCTGGATGGAGCCCAGAGGGGCCTCAGATGGGCTCCAAACCTCCCTGGGAAGCAGGGCCGTCGGAAATTATCGGGGCCCAACGACTTCCTGGCCGGTCAGACCCTTCCTTCCGGGGCCTGACCCAGCCCCTGGCGGCCTCCACTGCGCGTCCGTCCCAGCCGGTTCCCAGCGGGTGGGGCTGGCGAGTCTGATCCCTACCTGACGGCCTTTTTGGCGGCCTGGCCAGGCTGTGCGGGGTGGTAGGGCAAGACACGCGGCTCCCAGTTCTCCCCGGCGCCTGCACCGGCCCCGGGCCTCTCGCGCTCCGCTCCGGGCTGCACCGAGTTGGGCCGGCGCGCCGCGTTGGTGTTGCCGCGCGGCGGCAGCTCAGAATCTCCGGGTTGGGGCGGCCCTGGGCCACAAGGCTCCTCCACCCAGGTGACGCTGAGCAGGCTCAGAGTGAAGCCCAGGGAGATGCCCACGGCCACGGGCCCTGCGGGCCGCAGCACCGACAACAGCAGCGATGCCCGCATGGCGCCCGGACCGCGGGCCCCCGGCCCTGGAGCAGCCCCAGAGCAGCAAGAGGAGGCTTCGAGGGGGCGGGACCGGGGAGGGGGCGGATCCGGAGGGCCCGAGCCAAGCGGGCGGGCCCCCTCCCTCCCCGCCGAGCAGAGCCCGCGGCCCGAGCCGAATCTCCTGCGCCTCGTTCCGATCGCCCTCCAGCCGCCGCTCGGTACCGCGCGGGTCCCGGCGCTGGGCGCGGGAGCCTCAGCCGAGGCCGCCGCTGTCCGACGTGTCACTGGCAGGGCTCCGCCCCCGGGGTGGGGTCTCGGGCTCCGGCTACCGGAGAGGGAGGAGAAGGGGGAGGTTAAAGGGGAAGGACCCCCGGAAGTGCCCCCTCCTCAGTGCGGGAGAGGCAGACGTCGGGGGCGGAGTCCCCTAACTCCCCCCGGCGTGGTTGGTGCGTCCTGTGTGACGTCAGAAGCAGCCCGCCCCTGCCTGGATGGTGCGCCCTGAGTGACGTAAGGAGCAGAGGCCGGAGCTGTCCATCAGCACCAAAGGCCGCGGGCGGGCTCAGGGCATGGGGCCGCGGCTCTGGGGCAGCCCGAGCCCCTGCTCCTGCTCCTTTCCCTTCCCCAGGCCCAGCCTAAGTGCCCGGACGTCGCGGGACTGGAGTGCCAGCCGGTGTTGGAGGCGGAGCGGCGTCGCCGCCGCGCAGGGACCGGTCCGTCCGGCTCAGCAGCCCCCTTCTCCTCACCGCGGACTTTTACCGGACACCAGTCAGCTGGAGCCTCTGGCGCCCGGCAACCCCGGCCGGAGAGCCTCCTTCGCTCAGAAGCTCAGGTCGCCTCCAGCGCAGGTAGATCTTGGACAATCCCAGATTTAGCCGCCCACAGACCAGTCTCCTGGCTGCCTCCTCACCGGCAGCACACTGCCCTCATCTCCCCCCAACCCAGTCCCCCTTTTAACTTCTTCATCCCAGCTCCCTCTAGCCAGGCACTTACCCCCCTTTGTCTTTTGTCCCTTACTTCAGGGATGCTTCCAGAGCTGTGTGATGTGGGCACCACTCCTTTGTCCACTGTGTCCTTCCCTAGTTCTCCACTCCTACTCTCACCCTCATCCTGGTGGAGACCCAGGACTCCTCCTTGACCCCAACTTCCTCTTTGTCAGGCTGACGTGGGAGGGTGACTCCCTACTGTTCCCAGCACTATGCCGGGCACTGCGGCGACACTTCGGTTCCAGCTGCTGCCCCCCGAGCCAGATGATGCCTTCTGGGGTGCACCGTGCGAACAGCCCCTGGAGCGCAGGTACCAGGCGCTGCCAGCCCTCGTCTGCATCATGTGCTGTCTGTTTGGAGTCGTCTACTGCTTCTTCGGTGAGACCCCATCTCACTCCTCACTCGGGCCCCCCACCGTTTCCTCAAGTTATTTTCCTGAGGCACCCCAAACCTTCTTTAGAACTTTACCACTACCATGAACTGTTTCGTTTCTCTTTTTTTCATCCCACACGTTTGCAGATAATTTAGACTCTAGATCCTAGAGAACACAGGGTTTTGAATTAGGCGTGCTTGAATCTGAACCGGGTTCTGCACTTTACTAATTATGATGCCTTGGGCACATTAAACTTTCTAAGCCTCAGTTTTCTCATCTGAACAGTGGGAACAAAGATATTTGTCTCACACGGGGGGCGGGGGCGCTGTGAGAATTAGTAAGCACTCAATAAATAATAGCTATTGTGGTGAAGATGTGTTTAGGTCACTGTGCTAGGTAGGCACTGAAAACGTTTAGGAGGGTGAGTTAACATGGTCCCTTACCACAGGACATATTGTCTGATGAAGAAGAGACTTCTGGAACATTCACATCTGTGATACATATTAGAGGAAGCTAAATGATACATATCAGAGTCACACACATGGAGATGTGTGTACAAGTCAGCCTCCAGTAATTGGGGCTGCTGTGTGTCCAGGATGCACAAGGGAGTTCACTTGGAAAGGCAACTGGGGGCTGAAATCCAGCCCATGCTCTACTTGCCAAACTCTAGACCTTGGCACAAGGCTGTTTTGCCTAGAGGAAGGCACAACTCTTTTATAATTTGCACCAAGGTGCCAGATGGTCTAGTGGAGTAAGTGCCCAGTGACTGTACAGCAAGAGGTACAGAACTTCAGGTAAAAGAGAGCTTTATGGGCTGGGCATCCAAGGAACGCCTCCAGGCAGGGCATTATAGGTGGCTGGATGAAGTGAAAAGGAGGCTTGGAGGTCTGAGTTCCAGGTTGATCAGAAGTGGGGCAGGACTTGTGCTCGGCAGCCTTTACATCTCCCCCTAGAATGGCTGGATAGTAGGCAGGGATGGGAGCCAGATGGTCCCTCCACTTCCACCCCCAGACTCTGGACCAAACAACTGCAGAGTGGGCAGGGGGAAGAGCCCCTCTAAGGGTTCAGGACACATTCTGGGTCTCCAAGGAGTCTGTGTCACCTCGCCCCCTCCACTATTCCTACCCACTCCCTCTACAGTTGCTCAGTGCAGCCTGCCATTCCCTCTCCTGGGCTTCTCTGACAACCTACCCTTCTTGGAGGCTTCCATTCTCGGGCTCTTGGACTCTTTGAGCCCTTGTGCATGCCCTACTCCTCTTTCCAACCCCAGAACCTCCTGGACTCCAATGCTTCCCCTCATTCTTAGAACGGACTCTCCTCGTTATGACCTTTCTCTTTGGCTCTCCCTGACCCTTTGACCCCCATCTCTGACTTCCATCTTCTCAGCTTTCCAGGATCTACAAATCCCTCACACTTCCAGGTACCCTTAATGGGCCTAATGGCCCTATAACCTCCATTTTTCTGAAACACCACAACCACTGTTCCCCCCGATAATCCTCTCTGACCCCCTATGACTCCTTGTAAGGCCCAGTGACCCCTAATTACCCCCCAGCTATCTCATTACCTTCCATCCCTCTGACTCCCTCTATTACTCCTAACATAGGGGAATCCCTATGACCCCATTGTCTGTTTGCCCCCACCACGATTGCAGTGATTCCATTTCTCTGGCTTCAATATTACCCTCGCTCAGAAACCGTTTCATACTCTCAGTGATTCCACATCTGTCAATTCCCCTGACCTGAAAAGACCCCATCTTTCTGAACCCGTGTGACCTCACCTCTCAAGTGCTTTCTGACTTCCAAATACCTCATCACTCTGAACAATCTCCCTCTAAGGAGCCCAGTGACTCTACTGCTGATCCACTTGTGACCCCAGTGGCCTCTCTCTCTGACCTCTATGATCCCAAAGACCCCAATGACCCTATTACTGAGTCACTCTTGACTCCAGTGATCTATTTCTATCTCAGAAATCCAACACTCATCTCAATGACTGTCTGTTTTCCCAGTGACCCCCGATGACCTGTTTCTCTGATCTTCGTTGACCCCAGTGGTCCCTTCACTGCCGCCCTCAGGACCCCAATGACCCCCAATTCTCTGATCTTACTGTCCTGCCTCTGGTTCCCCTGGGATTCCTTGTCCTTGACCCCTCTGACCTCCTACCTCCAGCCCAGTGACCTCATTTTGGTCTCTCACGAGCCGCTGTTCGCTTCCAGGTTACCGCTGCTTCAAGGCAGTACTCTTCCTCACTGGGTTGCTGTTTGGCTCGGTGGTCATTTTCCTGCTGTGCTACCGAGAGCGGGTGCTGGAGACGCAGCTGAGTGCCGGGGCGAGTGCAGGCATCGCGCTGGGCATCGGGCTGCTCTGCGGGCTGGTGGCCATGCTGGTGCGCAGCGTGGGCCTCTTCCTGGTAGGGCTGCTGCTCGGCCTACTGCTCGCCGCTGCCGCCCTGCTGGGCTCCGCGCCCTACTACCAGCCAGGCTCTGTTTGGGGCCCCCTGGGGCTGCTGCTGGGGGGCGGCCTGCTCTGCGCCCTGCTCACGCTGCGCTGGCCCCGCCCGCTCACCACCCTGGCCACCGCCGTGACGGGTGCCGCGCTCATCGCCACGGCTGCCGACTACTTTGCCGAGCTGCTGCTGCTGGGGCGCTACGCGGTGGAGCGTCTGCGGGCCGCCCCCGTGCCCCCCCTCTGCTGGCGGAGCTGGGCCCTCCTGGCACTTTGGCCCCTGCTCAGCCTGATGGGCGTTCTGGTGCAGTGGCGAGTGACCGCCGAGCGGGACTCCCACACGGAAGGTGAGGAGGCACAGGCCAGGGTGGGTGTGAGAGAAATGGCTGCTTGAGGGGGGTGGGTCTGAGCGGCGGTGCATGGGGGAAGGAGCTGTACACACCAGCAGCGGAAGGCCTCAGCTGAGTTAGAGAGCTGACCGGCTCTGGCTCTGGGAGCTTCAGTGCCGGGACGGGAGCTTCAGTGCCACCATTCCTGCCACAACAACAGATGGAGCAGCGGCTCTGTGCCAAGCCCATTCCAGGCACTGGGGATGCAACGGAGACAAAACAGAAGAGGCCCCTGCCCTGATGGGGTTGCATTCAGGGTGGGGGAGACAGACACTAGACACGCAAGTTAACAAGATAATTCCCATTGTGTGGAGTGATACGAAGGAGGCGTGCAGAGTGATGTGAAATACAGACAGGGTGGCCAAGGAGGGCCACTTGGAAGAGGTGACATTTAAGCAGAGACCGGAAGGATAAGGGGCCAGCCATGCAAAGAGCTCGAGAAGAGGGAATAGCAGGGGCGAGGGGAATGAGCTTGGCCTGTTGAGGAAGTCGGGCGGGAGTGGTGGGTGAGGGATGCCGACTGTGTGGGCGCCGTGGGCCGTGATGAGGACTCTGGATTTCATTAGATGGGTGGTGAGATGCCACTGGAGGTTTAAAGGAGGGAGGATATAATCTAATTTAGCGTTTGGGACGCTCGTTCTGGCTGCTGAGTGTAGAAGGCGTCAGGGAAGGCAAGCACAGAAGGGGGGCCATGGAGGAGGCAGCTTAGTTATCCAGTCGAGAGATGACGATGGCTGGTCTAGGTGAGTCACCTATGGCTCCAGACTGGGACAGGGGTAGCAGCTGGGAAGCAGGCACCTAGAGTCTAGGAATCCTCCATGAAGACCTTTGGAAGGAAAGAACTGCGGGAAGTCCCATCTGAGAGGTGGGACACCAGGAAGGTAAAGGAGGAGAGGTTTCGGATGAGGGGAATCTGGGAGCCTGGAGCCCGCGGGTCAGAAGGGACAGGGAGGCTTGGGCGAGACGAGGCGCGTGGGCCTCTGAGAGCCTGCTCCGCCCGCCCGCCACAGTGGTCATCAGCCGGCAGCGCCGTCGCGTGCAGCTAATGAGGATTCGGCAGCAGGAAGAGCGCAAGGAGAAGCGGCGCAAGAAGAGACCCCCAAGGCCTCCCGCCAGAGGCCCCCGGGCTCCTCCAAGGCCTGGGCCCCCTGACCCTGCTTATCGGCGCAGGCCAGTGCCCATCAAACGCTTCAACGGAGACATCCTCTCCCCGGTGAGCACCCCGAGTGGGGAGAAGGAAGTGTTGTAGACTCTGTCCAAGCAGGACTGGGCCTTCCCCAGGGGCTGGTCACTGTCTAGAAGGCCTAGCGCTTGTCCACCCATCATAACCCCTGTACTGGGAGCCTGATGGGTTGGGGAGAGGTGTCCTGAGCGTGAGTTTTAATGACGTATAGTAGGGGGTAGCATCTCAGTGCTGTGGACTCTGGGTGTGGTGAGGTCCTAGGCCGACGGCAGACCGTGACACGTCTCAGGCTCGTGACAGTGCAGGCTGAGCATGTCTGCCTGGGTGGCTTTCAGGGCAGGGGTCTGCAGCGGCACTCTCACAACTGTGTTTACTCTCCCACAGAGCTACATCCAGAGCTTCCGGGACCGGCAGACAGGGAGCTCGCTGAGCTCCTTCATGGCCTCGCCCACAGACGCGGACTATGAGTACGGGTCCCGGGGACCGCTGACGGCCTGCTCTGGGCCCCCCATGCGGGTATAGCAGTCTCTCTGCTCCTGCCCGCCTACACTCATCGGTCACCAGCTCTGCCAGCTTGGGGAGGCCCACTGGGCCATGACTCAGCCCACCTGGCCCTGTGGCCTTTGGCTGTCTCTTTCCCCACCCCGGAGACGGATGGCCTGGCCGCCAGAAGGGAGGACCTATCTCAGGCTGCCTGGCCTGAGGGGAGAG